AATCCATTTGTGAAGGTGGAGCTCTCATAATCTAAATACCTCCCATTTGATCTTACCTCCCAACACTGTTGCATTGGGGATTAAGTTTTCAGCACGTTTCTTGGGAGAACACATTCAAAACACAATATATGGTAATTTCATTTTTAACTTTCTCAGGAACCATCATACTGAGAAACAGTTTTGCCAGATATAGGATTCTTGGTTGACAGTTTTTTTCCTTTTGCATTTTGCCTATATTGGCCAACTGCCTTCTAGCTTCCAAATTTCTGATGAGAAATCCGGTGATAATCTTATTGAGGATCTCTTGTATATGATAAACCACTTCTGTCATTTGGCTTTCAAGATTCTCTCTTTGTATATATATTTTGAGAGTTTGACTATAGTGTGCCTCATTGTGGGTCTCTTTGAGTTCATATTACTTGGAATTTGCTTAGTTTCTTGAATGTTTATATTCATGTATTTCATAAAATTTAAAATGTTTTCTGTTACTATTTTCAGATATTCTCTCTGACCCTTCTTTCTCTTCTCCTCTTTTGACTTTCATAATGCATAAGTTGGCCCACTTACTGGTGTCCCATAGATCCCTTAAGAACTATTTAATCTTTTTTTCTTCAATCTTTTTTACTTCTATTTTTCAGACTTAACAATTCCCATGATCTTATCTTCAGGTTAGTTGATTTTTTTTTCCCCCTGCTCAAATCTTCCTTTGAGTTTCTCTAGTGATTTATTTGAATTATTTTACTTTTTCACTCCAGAGTTTTTAGTTTATTTTTAAGTTTTCTGTCTTTTTCTTGGTATTCCCATTTTGTTTATACATCATTTTCTTGTCTTTTCACACATCTTGCTTAAGTACTTTGATGGCCTTTAAGACAGTTATTTTAAAGTCTTTGTTTAGATTATCTGCCATTAGGTCTTTTTTAGGAATAGCCTATGTTGATTTTTTAAAAAATGTGTCATACTTGTCTATTTCTTTGTATGTCCTGTGATTTTTTTGCTGAAAATTATGCATTAGGATCTAATAGTGTGTTCACTCTGAAAATTATATTCTCTTTCTTTTCCAGAATTTGCTGTTTTGCTATTGCTTTTGGTTATTTTAAAAAATTGTTGTAGGCTCTCCCCATGCCATCCATCAGCCTAATATGTAAACCTAATGTTTTCTCAGGTCTTATCTGAGCCTGAGCCTTCCCCTGGGCATAATCACTGTCTAATTTTCCCCATATATGCAGGACCTTTGGCATGTCTTAGTCTTTAATGTCTGGCTCTCAAAGGAAGAAAAGAAAAAAAAATAGTAAAGTAGAAGGAAAGGCATTAGCTCTTTAAATACCTTGGAAGTTCCTTCATCTGGAAGAGGAGAGAATTGTAACAAGGAGGGGTGATGCAAAAATGATAGTTGCCTGCTTATTTGTACACACCTCTGTTATCAGAAGCAGCAACCAATGATCAGAGCAGAGATTCCTAGTATTTGGAGGACAGCATACTTTTTTACCCACTCTGGCTTCCCCAAACTATGTAGGCTGCTCTAGAAACAGTGCACAGTTCCCTGCCACTGAACTGGGATGGTGAATGGGTAGCTGCTACTGTGCTAAAATTGACGAAATTTAACCACAATTTACCATCCAACCTTGATCCTGGAAGCTAATAGACTCCAAGATCCAAAAATATGTACATCAGACAGATTCTGTCAAAGCAATTTGTTGTCTAGGAGGGAAGACAGATTCCTAGTGCTTCCTACTCTTCCATCTTTCCAGAATTCTCTCACTGGTAAATGTTTAACAACATTTCCTCCTAAAAATGTGTGGATAGCCGTACATACATGATTTGATTATAAATTTCACTGATATAAAAGATGTGTAGCACATAATTTACAAATAATAATTGTTATACTCTTTGTTATACATTTCATACAGACAATTGATTCTTAGAAAATTCTTTCTTTGATTTTTGCCAACTCTTATAGGATTATTGCAATCTATGACTACAATTGATCAATGAATGCAGTTCTGACATAAATGTTAGTTGATATTTTCATTTACATCAATAATTAATACAAAATAAAACAATGAAGACATATGTTGGAACTTCACTCCTTTATCAACAACAGAAATGATTTCTTTACTGAATAATAGCTTTCAAATATTCAATGAATATTCTCACAATTTTTAATACTATTCACAACATAGTAGTGATAGACACGGCACACATTTAATTTTCATTATTAACATTTTTTCCCATAATTCTCTTAAATTGTTACAATCAACAAAGCAATAAAAAAGCCATGATTTGTAGTGTTTTCCAATTTTAGTGGTGTAAATACTCCCTTATGGTTGATTTCACACTACCAATGTGATGTCACTGAACATGGGAGTTGTAATACAGCATTGTATAGTATTTTTACTGCAGAGATTAAATAGACATAAACTCAGGAATATAGAAAATAGTAAAATAAAATAATTAGGAAGTGATGCAGTTTGAATATTATTTTAATATAATTTATTATATTTTAGTTTATACAATTTTTGTAATTTAATTTAACACTATCTGTGTTTAACCACTAGATTGCAAAATTTTTAAAAATTATAGTTAACTCTAGCTATATTTTGACATACATAATGCCGCTAAACAAATGTAATATATTCTTATTGAAAATAATGATAAAATGTTTCAATTCAAAAAACTAAATTCTATGCTAAAAAACTAAAAAACACCAAAGAGATATTTGGCTTTTGCTCTTTAGAATAAAAAAATGCAGATCATATTGAAAGAAAAATTTTAATTCTACTTGCTCCACAACCACAGAAAAAACTTGACACCTAGAATTCCTCTTATCTACTGTTAAAACATAACATTAGACTTGTTTAGCTTTTCTGAAAGTAATTATAATCTTTTATTCAGTAAGTTTACTAAGAGTGGTCATTTATTATAAAATAGAAGAGGGTAGGAAGATCAAATTATAGCTTTTGGTTTTGGTGTTGTAAGGACACATCTCCTAACTGCATCACACATTTGCTTACTTTTTACTATTTTTTGTTGGTTAACACTTGTAATAATTGCTTATATTTCTACAGCTCTCTAACATGTTGAAACACTCATTTATTTAATACTGATTGAATGCTTATTAAGTATAGTATGCTATTTCATTTAGGAATCACAATAATTTTTGTGAAATAGGCAGAAATTTTCACCTCTTTCATAGTTACAGAAACCAAGGCCCAAAGTGGCTTAGTGAATTTTTTTCCAAAGTCACAGATTAGAACTAAGAAAAACCTTGACCAACTGGTCCAATGTTTCTTCTCAATATCAGGCTGGGTCTGTATGAAAATTCATTTACAGAAAATGGCTAAATTTTGGAAGAAAATCCAGTGTCCTAATTTGTTCAGCTAGTAAAGTCCATTTATAAAATTGTTTAGTTATTCAACAAATATTTATTGAGCTCGTATTGTTTCCTGGGCACTATTCTAGACACTATGATTAGAGCTCTGGTTATTCAAAATCATTAGTTGAGATGAAAATAATAACATGCTTGTCCGAAAAAAACCCAAAAAACAAAAACAAAAATCCAGACCAGTTGCTCTATAAAGTCACTAAAACTTTTGAATCTTTAAAAGGTGATAATTTGTATCAAGTTCTACACTGTAATTCTAATAACTTCTATGATGTGACTGAAAATTTAGTGTTATAATAAGGTAAATTGTGCTGAATTATAGAGTCTTATATGCTAACATAAACATTTTCTTATTAACTTTAATTATACTATTTTTTTCTGATTAAAAATTCTCAGCAAACTGACACAAGAACAGAAGATCAAACACCACATGTTCTCACCCATAGGCGGGTGTTGAACAATGTGAACACATGGACACAGGGAGGGGAACATCACACACTGGGGTCTATGGGGGGGAACTAGGGGAGGGACAGTGGGGGAGTCGGGAGTTGGGGAGGGATAACATGGGAAGAAATGCCAGATACAGGTGATGGGGAGGAAGGCAGCAAACCACATTGCCATGTATGTACCTATGCAACAATCTTGCATGTTCTTTACATGTACGCCAAAACCTAAAATGCAATAAAAAAATATATATATATTTTTTAAATCATGCCATCAGCCAGACTAATGAAGAAAAAAGGGAGAAGACTCAAGTAAATAAAATCAGAGATGAAAAAGAAGACATTACAGTTAATATTGCAGAAATCCAGAGGCTCATTGGTGGCTACTATGAGCAACTATATGACAATAAATTGTAAAATCCAATGAAAATGCATAAATTTCTAGACACATGCTACCAAGACTGAACCATGAAGAAATACAAAACCTAAACAGACCAATAGCAAGAAACAAGATTGAAACTGTAATAAAATGTGTTCAGGTAAAGAAAAGCCCAGAATCTGATAGATTTACAGCTGATTTCTATGAAACACTTAAGAACTAATGCCAATACTACTCAAATATTCTGAAGAGTAGAGGAGGAGGAATTCCAAATTCATTAGACAAGGCCAGTCTTACACTGATACCAAAACCAGACAGAGATAAATCAAAGGAATAAAACTAAAGGCCAGTATATCTGATGAATAATGATGCAATAATCTACAACAAACTACCAGCAAATTAAATTCAACAATACATTAAAAAGATGACTCATCATAATCAAGTGGGATTTATCCCTGGGATGCAAGAATGGTTCAACATATGCAAATAGTTCAACATATGCAAATTCCAGGATCTTTGGGGGTATTAATCAGTGTGATACATTATATCAACAGAATAAAGAACTAAGATCATGTAATCATTTTGATTGATGCTGGAAAAGCATTTGATAAAATTCAACATTTTTTCATGATTAAAAAAAATTTAAAAACTGAGTGTCGAAGGAACATATTGCAATATAATAAAAGCTGTATATTACAGACTCATAACTAGTGTCATACAGAAGAGGGAAAAGCTGAAAGCATTTTCTCTAAGATCTGTGAGACAAGCATGTCCACTTTCACCATTGTTATTCAACATAGTACTGGAAGTCCTAGCTATAACAATTAGACAAGACAAAGAAATAAAGGGCATCCAAATTGGAGAGGAAGAATTCAAATTATCCTTGTTTGCAGATATTATAATTACATATTTGGAAAAACATAAAGATTCTGTCAAAAAACTATTAGAACTAATAAATGAATTCAATAAAATGACAGGATACAAAATTAACCTAAAAAAATCAGTAGCATTTCTATGTGCCAATCTGAAAAAGAAACTGAAAAGTAATCCCATTTACAGTAGCCACAAAGAAAATTAAATACCTGGGAGTTAACCAAATAAGTGAAAAATCTCTGCAATGAAAACTGGAACACATTGATGCAAGAAATTGAAGAGGATACAACAAAATGGAAAGATATTCCATGTTCATCAATTGAAAAAAATCAATATTGTTAAAATGTCCATACTACCAAAAGAAATCTGGAGACTCAATGCAATGATGAAAATACCAATGACATTCTTCACAGAAATAGAATAAACAATCCTAAAATGTATATGGAATCACAAAAGATCCAGAATAGCCAAAGCTATTCCATGCTAAATTAACAAAACTAAAGGAGTCAGATTACCTGACTTCAAACTATCCTACATACTTGTAGTCAGCAAAACAGTATGATATGGGCATAAAAACATACACATAGACCAATGAAACAGGATAGAGAATCCAGAAACACATTCATACACCTAAAGAACTTGTTTTCAACAAAGGTGCCAAGAACATACACTGGGGAAAAAGCCTCCAATAAATGATGCTGAAATACTGGGTATCTGTATACAGAAGAATGAAAGTGGACCCTTATCTCTTGCTATATAAAAAAAACAATTCAAAATGAATTAAAGACTTAAATCTAAGACTTCAAACTATGAAACTACAGAAGGAAAACACTGGGAAAATGTTCCAGGATATTGAGGGAAAAGACTCCTTGAGCGATACATGCAAGCACAGGAAAGCAAAAAGAAAAATGGGTTCACATCAAGTTAAAAAGCTTCTGTACAGCAAAGGACACAATCAAGTGAAGTGAAGAGACAACCCACAGCCATAAAATGGAAGAAAATATTTGCAAACTACCTGTATTAGTGCGTTTTTATGCTGCTGATAAAGACATACTCAAGATAGAGAAGAAAGAGAGGTTTAATGAACTTACAGTTCCACATACCTGGAAGGCTTCACAATCATTGTGGAAGGAAAAGAGAAGGATGGTGGCAGGCAAAGAGAGCTTGTACAGGGAAACTCCCATTTTTAAAACCATCAGATCTTGTGAGATGTATTCACCATCACAAGAACAGCACAGGAAAGACCTGCTCCCATAATTCAGTTATATCCCACCAGGTCCCTTCCACAACATGTGGAAATTATGGGAGCTACAAGATGACATTCGGGTGGGTACACAGAGCCAAACCATATAATTCTGCCACCGACACCTCCCAAACCTTATGTCTTCACATTTCAAAACCAATCATGCCTTTCCAACAGTCCCCCAAAGTTTTAACTAATTTCAGCATTAACTCAGAAGTCCACAGTCCAAAGTTTCTTCTGAGACAAAGCAAGTGCCTCCACCTATGAGCCTGTTAAATCAAAAGCAAGCTAGTTACTTCCTAGATCAATGGGGATACAGCTAGTGCGTAAATCCAGCCATTCCAAATGGGAGAAATTGGCCAAAAGAAAGGGGCTACAGGCCCCATGGAAGTCCAAAATCCTGCAGGCAGTCAAATCTTAATGCTCCAAATGATCTCCATTGACTCCATGTCTCACATCCAGGTCATGCTGAAGAAAGAGGTGGGTTCCCATGGTCTTGGACAGCTCTGACTCTGTGGCTTTGCAGAGTATAGCCCCCCTTCTGGCTGCTTTCACAGGCTGGCATTGAGTGTCTGTGGCTTTTCCAGGTGCACAGTGCAAGCAGTCAGCAGATCTTCTATTCTGGGGTCTGGAGGATGGTGGGCCTCTTCTCACAGCTATACTAGGTAGGGACTCGGTGTGGTGGCTCCAACTCCACATTTCCCTTCTGCACTGCGCTGTTAGAGGTTCTCCAAGAGGCCCCTGCCCCTGCAGCAAACTTCCCCCTGAGCATCCAGGTATTTCCATACAACTTCTGCAATCTAGGCAGAGGTTCCCAAACCTAAATTCTTAACTTCTGTGTATCTGCAGGCTCAACACCACATGGAAACTGTCAAGGCTTGGGGCTTCCACCCTCTTAAGCAACAGCCCAAGCTATACCTTTGCCCCTTTTAGCTATGGCTGGAGCAACTGAAACATAGGGTACCAAGTCCCTAGGCTGCACAGAGAAGGGATCCCTAGCTTTCCCAGAAAACCGTTGTTCTCTCCTAGGTCTCCAAACCTGTGATGGGAGGGGCTGCCATGAATACACTGAAGACATTTTCCGCATTGTCTTGGTGATTAGCATTCAGCTTCTCATGACTTATGCAGATTTCTACAGCTAGCTTGAATTTTTCCTCAGAAAATGGAATTTTCTATCTCATTGTCAGGCTGTACATTTTCTGAACTTTTATGCTCTACTTACCTTATAAAATTGAATGCCTTTAGCAGCACCCAAGTCACCTCTCAAATGCTTTGCTGCTTAGAAATTTCTTCTGCTGGATACCCTAAATCATCTCTCTCAAGTTTAAAGTTTCACAGATCTCTAGGGCAGGGGCAAAATGCCACCGGTTTTGCTAAAACATAACAAGAGTCACCTTTGCTCCTGCTCCCAACAAGTTCTTCATCTCCATCTGAGACCAACTCAGCCTGGATTTCATTGTCCACATCATTATCAGCATTTTGGGCAAAGCAATTTAACAAGCCTCTAGGAAGTTCCAAACTTTTCCCACATTTTCCTTTCTCCTTCTGAGCCCTCCAAACTGTTTCAACCTCTGCCTGTTACTCAGTTTCAAAGTTACTTCCATGTTTTCAAGTATCTTTCCAGCAGTGGAAATACTATTGATACTCTGTTGGTACCAATTTACTGTATTAGTTCATTTTCATGCTTCTGATAAAGGTATACCCAAGACTGGGAAGAAAAGAGGTTTAATTGGACTTACAGCTCCAGAGGACTGGAAAGGGCTCACAATCATGGCAGAAGGCAGGAAGGAGCAAGTTGCATCTTACATGGATGGTGGCAGGCAAAGAGAGAGAGATTGTTCTGGGAAACTCCTATTTTTAAAACCATCTTGAGACTTATTCACTATCACAAGAACAGCACAGGAATGACCTGCCCTCATGATTGAGTTATCTCCCACTGTGTTTCTCCCACAACATGGGAATTATGGGAGCTACAAGATGAGATTTGGGTGGGGACACAGGGCCAAATCCTTCACTACCCATCTGATAAGGGATTAATAACTAGAATATATAAGGAGGTCAAACAACTCTCTAGGAATGCTTAGGAATTCATTACTTGGATGTGGAGCAAAGGGAACCCCTGTACACTGTTGGTGGGAATGTAAATTAGTACAACCACTAAGGAGAACAGTTGAATGTTCCTCACAAAACTAAAAACAGAGCTACCAAATGATACAGCAATCTCACTGCTGGGTATGTACCCCAAAGAAAGAAAGTCAGTATTTTGAGGAGATATCTGCACTCCCATGTTTTTTGCTGTACTATTCACAATAGTCAAGATTTGGAAGCAACATAGATTTTCATCAACAGATGAATGGATAAAGAAAATGTGGCACTTATACATAATGAAGTACTATTCAGCCATAAAAAAAATGACATCTTGTCATTTCCAACAACATGGGTGGAACTGGAGGTCATTATGTTAAGTAAAATAAGCCAGGCACAGAAAGACAAACATCACATGTTCTCATTTATTTGGGGGATGTAAAAATCAAAACAATTGAACACATGAGAGACAGAGTAGAAGGTGTGGGAAAGGGAGTTGGGGATGGTTAGTTGTTGACAAATAAATAGAAATAATGAATAAGGCCTACTATTTGATAGCTCAATGGGGTGACTATAGTCAAAATAATTGTACATTTTAAAATAACTAAAAGAGTGTAGTTGGGTTGTGTGTACTACAAAGGATATATTCTTGAGGAGATGGAGACCCTGTTTACCCTGAAGTGATTATTGAACATTGCATACCTGTATCAAGATATCTCATGTACCCCCCAAGCTGAGCACAGTGGCACACACTTGTAATCCCAGCACTTTAGGAGGAGTCCAAGGTGGGCAAATCACCTGAGGTCAGGAGTTTGAGACCAACCTGGCCAAAAGGGTGAAACCTCATCTCTACTAAAAATACAAAAATTAGCTGGGTTTGGTGGTGAATGCCTGTAATTCCAGCTAATTGGGAGGCTGAGGCAGGACAGTCGCTTGAACATGGGAGGCAGAGGTTGCAGTGAGCTGAGATCATGCAACTGCATTCCAGCCTCGGTGACAGAGACTCCATCTAAAAAAAAAAAAGAAAAAAAAAAAAAAAACATGTATCTTCATAAATATATACATCTATGAATCCACAGAAATTGAAAATAGAAAAGTAAAAATAAAAGTAAATTATACCATATGCTTATGGTAGAAAATTGTATAAATGTAGAAGAGAAGCAGAGTAACAAGAAAAGCAATCACCTTTTTTACCCTATCATTCGTATGTGATCCATCGTTAATATTTTAATATGTTTGCTTTTATACACACAATACATACACACATATATGTATATTATGTAATTGTCATTTTATATATATATAAAATTCATTTTTATACAGTCATGCATCACATAATGTTTCAGTCAATAATGGATTGAATGTAAACAGTGGTTCCATAAGATTATAGCAAAGCTGAAAAATTCCTATGCCTAGTGATTTGTGCTCCAATTTCCTACAGTATTCATTACATTAACATGCTGTACATTGGTGGCCTTGGAGCAATAGCTCTACCAGGTAACCTAGGTGTGTAGTAGGCTCTGCTCTCCAGGTTTTTGTAAGGAGTATACACTCCATGATGTTTGCACAATGGCAAAATCACCTAATGATGCATGTCTTAAATTATGTCCCCATCGTTAAGGGACACAAGAGTATACCACCTTTTACATAAATAGTATAAAACACAATATTTTTTAATGTCACCATATATGCTTCAAAGACAACCTTTATATACTTGCATAATATTTTATTGTGTAGATTTACTATAAATTAGCTTAGTCAGACATAAAGCTATTTTCAATGTTTTATTATTATAAGTAACATGATACTAAAAATATGTACCATAACTTTTAAAAAAACTTGTGATTATTTTCTCATGCTATTTGTGGAAAATAAATTTTAAGTCCACAACTTGTAAATTTTTTAAAGACTCTTGGTACCTGTTTCCATTTTTTATTTTCTGCAGCTTAAACCAAATTTCTTTCCCAGCAATACAGTGTAGGAGTGTAGATTTCTTTGCATTCTTGCCTACGTTGAAAACATTCATTTTACAAAATATTTCCATTTGATAGATAAAATACATAACATAGATTTAATTTGCTTTTCTTTGATTACTAATAAACTTTATGTGATTATTCGTCCTTTCTCTGTCTTTTAAAGTTATTGCTTCATTGCCTTTGCTCATGTTATTTTTTTAAGGGTCTTTTTTGATATTTTAAACTTTTTTTCCTATTCTGGAACCTATAGAAAAATTTTGAGCAGGGAGGTGATATATGATCAGATCTGTTTTCTTTTTCTACTTAACAGTGTAAAACATTTTGAATAAAACATATGGGGATAAATTTAAGCATATTTACATAGTACTAGTCTCACATGTATGCATTTCTCCTTTTTTAAATAAATTAAATTAAAATTTTTAAGCTGCCAAGTGGCACAGACTGGCACTATACATACTCCTTAAGTTACACAACAGTCAAGCAGCTAAAGTCACGATTTATGTATGTGTGCCCAATTAGAAAAGAGGCTGGTGCCAAGATAATCACAAATTTGCCATAAACTAAAGTTCATTACTGTTACAT